TAGATTGAGGACTCCTGATGATGATGATGATAATAATCATGGAAGGAGAGAAACATATAATGATAAATACAAAATAGAGTGTACTGCAAGACATGTGTATACTTACAAGTATTTCCTGCTAACTATTATAAATTCATTTTGACTTTTAAAACACCCTATGTCAGGTCAACAGGTGGTGTGGAGATTAAAGTGCTGGATCCCATATGGCTGACTTTGCAGTTCAAGTCCTGGACCCAGTGTATTGAAAATCACAAAGGGCGCATGTGTGTGTATTCCTAAAATTCCAAGATAATGGCAGAGAAGGGATTGTGATGTGGCCATCCCTCCTGGGGAGTGATTTCTTACTTTTCTTCTCTCTCCCTCTCTCTGGCGAGTTGAATGTGCCCCAAAACAAAACAAAACAAAACAAAACAAAACAAAACAAAAACCCTGCCAACTACTAGCATCTTCAATGAATTCTCCATATCACAGAACACTTTAATATCCATTATTTCCTTTTGCCTCATGATAACCCTGTGACATAAAAAAAAGCATCCTATTTTGTAGAAGTCTTTGTCAGATATTCATATTTTGAGGTGGTAGAGTTAATTGTGGTTTTGTCTGAGGGCAGAAAATAGAAGTCAGTCATCTTCCAGGGTCAGTTTCCATTGCAGAATTGAGGGAAAACACCTTAAAGTCCATGAGCATTGATTTCTAGAGAATGCTATCTAAAGTGCTACATAATTGAAAATTCACAATTATTATTATTATTATTATGGAATGATATTTATATTCATGTTACAAAAAAAATCACCTTTATTAAGAGTGTGTCAGTAACCAGGAACTCTAGAATACACTGAGTTCATTAAAGTACAAGAGTCTGAACATGGCCTTTATTCTTTACTTCTTTCTTGTGTTTTAGATCCATCACTCGTGCCTACTACAGGAACTCAGTAGGTGGTCTTCTCTTATTTGACATTACCAACCGCAGGTCCTTCCAGAATGTCCATGAGTGGTTAGAAGAGACCAAAGTACACGTTCAGCCCTACCAAATTGTATTTGTTCTGGTGGGTCACAAGTGTGACCTGGATACACAGAGGCAAGTGACTCGCCATGAGGCTGAGAAACTGGCTGCTGCATACGGCATGAAGTACATTGAAACATCAGCCCGAGATGCCATTAATGTGGAGAAAGCCTTCACAGACCTGACAAGAGACATATATGAGCTGGTTAAAAGGGGGGAGATTACAATCCAGGAGGGCTGGGAAGGAGTGAAGAGTGGATTTGTACCAAATGTGGTTCACTCTTCAGAAGAGGTTGTCAAATCAGAGAGGAGATGTTTGTGCTAGTCACAGCCCTTTATTCCCAAACGTGCTCTCCTACCTGAACTTAAGAGTGATTAAAACTGCTAGAACCTTGTGTGACTGAAGAAAATTCAATCTCCATTTGGATACCAAGGGAGCTTCCTTTCCGGAGGCTCTGACAAGCCGTGTGTGGTGGATGAGGAAGCCTGGGTGTTGTTACCAAGGGACAGAAATCCTGCCATGGGCCAGGCCAGGCACTGTCTTTTATCCATGCTGGGCAGTGGCTGCTCCATTCACCCTTTGTGGACCATATGCTAAGGGAGGGCCTGGAGTTCAGGAAAACATACCAACAGATAGGACAACTGTTTCTTGGCATTTCAGCTCATTCATAGGTCAGAAACAAAAAAAATATGTATAGGTAAAAAAAAATCACATGGAAACTATTAGCATAACTTTAAAAAAAAGACTACAAGATCACCTAATTCAGTGAGAATCTCCTACACCAAATGTGGGCTGGGTTTGTTTAAAAGATACCAGTTAACTTTTAACAGCTCACTGGTAAAATGAGGGGCATGGTTATTTGTTAAGGCCCTTTCAAGGTCTGATATTCTAGTAAAAATTTTAGTCCATTTATACATTGTTGTTTTCACATTAGAGAAAAAGTACACCTTGTGATAGAATTACCAGCTATGTGAAAGACATTGTCACATGCAAATTACCATATAAGTAGAAGAGAGAGACACTGTAATCCAAACATCATATCTTCTTTCCCATCTGACCATGCCTGGGGATTCATTACTTTGGTGACTGCAATCAGGCACTTGACAGTGACAACACAGGGATTGTCTCTGAAAAGAGCCCTCAGGTGAACATTCACTCATTGTGTACAGAGTACCTGCTCAACAGGAGGCGCTATGACTCTTACAAACATGGTATAGTTTCTTGAGCTACTTATTTGATCATCATAACATGCCTGTGAAGTTGTTGTCCCCATTTACAGAATAGTAAATTAAGAGCCAGGAGACTCAAACAAGGACAGAGACTCCTGACTCCTACTTCATTTCTTTTCACTGTATCATCTTGCTGTCAGATGAATAAATTATTATTGATTTGTTTACTTTGGAAGAGACAGAACTGTAAATAAATGTTCTCTACATGTTAGGATATGTTTTCCTTATTGATTACAACTCAGCTATAATCCTGAGAGAACTGAGAATAAATCAAAGGTAAAGCCTGTTCAGGTGTTATTGACAAGAGTGCTTTAAACAAGTGAATAATTGCACAACTTAAAACACATTAGAAGTGTGTGGGTCATAAGTGTTCTCATTACTGAAACACAATGGACATTTTATTGAAAGGAATCAAACATGGCAACAGGGACTGGGATAGAGATAAAATACTCACCCCACAGTGACCTTGGCCACTTGTCTGCCATATACCTACATTGGGTTCCTGTCTGCTGTAGTCAGCTCTTCATTCTCAGGTGAACAGACAGCTTAACTACATCAGCACATTGGAATGGCTGATTGAAGGTTCCATTATCTTCTTGAAGAGAGGTGATGCTTTAAATTACTTTTTGGATTGTAGCCAGTTCAGCTAGGCAAAAGCCATACTTTTCACAGTAAGAAAACTATTCTGATTAGTCAGGTTTCTCATATCCATTCTGATAAGAATGTGACTGAATCTGAAAGTTTGGGAATTTGCTTCAGCCAGAATAAAGAAGCTAAATAATGAAAAATGGAAGACTATTCTGCCACCTATGCCCCAAGCTGGATGAGCAAACCATTTTGGACCAATTCACACCATCAACTACAAGTGAACTGATCATTTTCTCTATATTTGTTTCACACAACATGGCGTGGGTGGGGTAAAATGCCAGTGTCACGGTCATCAAAGGCAAATAAGAGGCAGTGCATTAACTCAAAATTTCATCAACTACTAAAGTTTAGACAATTCTGAAAGCAAGATTATCCGGTAGACATATGAGAGTTGACTAGATTCTTGTCAATTCAAAAAGGTATATAAACAAAACTTCTCTACAGTTTTCTTGACTAAATTACATTATATGTATACTTTTCCTATTCCTGGCATTTTTAAGGCAGGTTTAAAAATACTCAGCAGAGGTGGCTGGGGTTAATTGCTTAAACAAGATCTAGAAACTTTAAAAATCATCTTAGTAGAATTCAGTGCCATTGTCACTGCAATAAGTGGGTTTTAGAAAAATAAGTGTGAAAAAATCAGGTGTTAATATAATACTAAGGAAAAAGCTTTAGAAGCTATTTTACTACATAGGTAAAGAAAAGATTAACTTGTAACAGACCACAACTGCATGTTGGATTAGATTGTCTCATATTCCAGAATAAAATGTACTGTATACTTTTCATCACTTTGTTGTGCACTGTAATGAAATGTGAAAAAAAATTACTTATTTAGCTGTATGTGAATGAAAATATGCTTGTATTTAGTAAAATGGTTGATTATGTGACTGTGAGATTCCAACTGTGTGTTGTAGCTATTTTTAGGATATGTCATTACTAATAATATCAGTAAGATATGACATATACTATGCACAAGAGTATTCACCAGTATAGCAATAGCAAAAAGAATATATATTTTGAAATACAATGTTGAAAGTCACATCATGGGAAAAGTCGCTTCTGTCAAACTTAAATTTTCATTACTGCAATTTTTAATTAAGAATTGGTCACCAGATAGTTGATTCCAACTATTGTCTTCCCTGGAAAGTGTTTTTCTCCAGGCTAAATTGCCTCAGCTTTTTCAAATCCTATGATGTGCTTTTTATGTAAGGATCACTTCAGGTGTTGGACCCAGACTGGAACACAATAGTTCAAAACATTTCTCAGGGTCAATAGTATGTATTTGGGTGCAGAAGGGAGAGGGAATGTTTGATTCTGAATCTGGGCATGAACTTTATCACTTTTATCATTATGAGTGAATGGTAGGGAGGGAGGGAGAGAGAAAGGAGAGATAAAAGGAGAAATCAATGATGTAATACCATTTGATATAGTTTATCACTTTCTTCTCCTTAAAATGATCCCTAGGACTTCATCATCTTATTTTATTTTATTTTATTTTTTATTTGGAGAGGTTTTTGCTATAGGGCGCATGCACTTGCCAGAAAGACAGAGAGAGACAGAGAGACAGAAAGTTAGAAATCACACCCCCTCCCAGGGGCCACGCCACAATCCCCTCTCCTCCATTCTCCTCTCAGAATCCTGAGCATGCGCGCACATGAGTTTAAGTCACCAGGTCCACGACTCGAACCACAGTCGACTACATGGGAGTTCAGTGACATAGCCATTATACCAACTGCTGGTCTCCTTAATCATCTTTTGTTCATTTACATTAATTTACTTAGCAATGTCATTTAATTCCATGGCTATAAATACTATGTATAAGCCATTGAGTCCTGAATTCATATCTCCACTTTGTCTTTCCCACGAACTCCAGACCCTTACATATAACTGCCTACCAGACATCTCCATTTGAATGTCTATCAGGCAGCACAATTTTAACATGTCCAAAATAAGGCTTCTAATCTTCCTCCCCAATTCTGTCCCTTCCATAGTCTTCCCCCCTCAGTAAATGGCAAATTTTTCCTTCCATGTACTCCTGCCAAAACCTTAGATGCATTTTTTTTTAAAAGACAGGGTTTTGCAATCCCCTTGCCTTCCCCTTCTGAGTTTCTGGGACCACAGGGGCAAGCCATAATGAATGCTCAGCCTTCAGTTTGGACTGAGGAATAAACCTGGCCTTCCTTGCAGTCCCAGTCTGTGGAGCACAGCATCTTAGAAGCATGTACCATGGTGGCTGGGCAGAAGTCATCCTTGATGAGCTCTTTCATGGTCCGCATCTGATTTGGAAATAAAGCTAGCTCTACCTTAAAGATATAATGAGAATCTGACAGCTTGTCATCATTTTCACCGCTAACACACTGGTCCTGGCCACTATCACTTGTTGCCTGAGTTATTGTGATAGCTAGTTCCCTGCTGCCATTTTGTTCCCTCACCCTGCTCCTCTCCACCATCTCTCCTCCATACATCAACCTGATAAAACACTCTTTATAAGCAGTAATCTCCAATAGTTATCCATTTTCCTCAAATTAAAGCCCAAAGCCCTTCCAATAGACTGCAGAAGAACTCTTAGAAATTAATTCCAATTCCATTCCATCACCTCTGTAACCTTATTCACTACTGCTGACCCCTCGTTCACTTTACTCCAGCTATACAGGTTCCTTCCTACCTCAAAACACACTCAGCACATTCCCACCTCGGGTTTTTGTGCTGGCTCTTCCCTTTGAGTTCTCTTTCCTGAGATATCTGCCTGGGTTGCTTCTTCACAACCATCAAGTTCTGGAGCTGGCAGCTTCCAAAATCTTAAAGCAGCTTTCTAATCCTAGGGAAGGAATGTCTGCAGAAGTCATTACTGAGAGCTCAACCCAGAGTCTTACTCTTTCCTGGGGAGAACAAAGTTTGGGATATACAAAAAAGGGTAATGAAACTTGGAGATAACGAAAACTCTGGTGAGTACAGTTTTACAGGAAGGAGAGGACAGTAGTATCACAATGCAGCGATGAGTTCAGAAAGATAAGAACCAAGATGTATCCATAGGATTTGAGGAAGCAGGAAGTTATGAGTGACCTTTACCAGCAGAATGTTGGTGGAACAATTTCTTGCCGACACAAAGCCTCTCAGAAAGTTAATGTTCTCAGTTCTGCTACTGGCCCAATTCTTTTCTCACTTTCCATTTTCTCCTCTCCTTTCCCTAGACAATATTACCTACAGTCTCATGACTTGTCTTTGCATTTCTGGCTGCCAAATTAAAAACTCTAGCCCACTCTACTGAGCATTATTCCAATACAGCCAACTTGCCTACTAAACACAACCAGAAATTACTCAAATATAACATATCCAATATCTAATGCTAAAATAGATGTCTATCAAAATGTGCCCTATCTGGGACCAGCAGTTAGTGTAATGGCTATATCGCTGGACTCCCATGTAGTCGACCGCAGTTCGAGTCCCGGAAAGTTTTAAGTGGCTTAAAACTCACGCCAAGCACATGTATGTGTGTGTGCCTAGGATCCTGAGAGAAAAATGGAGGAGAAGGGATTGCGGTGTGGCCGTCTCCCCTGGGGGGTGATTTCTCGCTTTCTATCTCTCTGTCTCTCTCTGTCTTTCTGGTGAGCGTACGCACCCCGTAGCAAAAAAATTCTCCAAAAAAAAAAAAGAAGAAAAAACAAATGTGCCCTATCAGGGTCAGCAAATGGCATAGACATTAATGTGCTGGATCCCACATGACTGGTTACATAGTTCAAGTTCTGGTCTCAGCAACTTGAAAATCATACTGGGTGCATATGCATGTGTGTGTGCCCAAAATCCTTAGAGGAGAATGGAGAAGGGATTATGGCATGGCCATCCCCCTGGGGGGGGGGCGATTTCTCACTTTCCCTCTCTGTCTCTCTCGTAAGCACATCCATCCTGTAGCGAAAAAAAGGGGGCGGGGAGACTATTCATGCCAGTCTCTCTCATCTCATCATTTATATGATAGCACCTTCCACTCACTTGCTCAATCCCAAAATTTTAAGTTATCCTTAATTCATTTCCCTTCACGTCTTACATAAAATCCATCATCAAACACTGCCAGTTATATTTTCAAAATATAATTCTGTCATTTTTGTCCATCTCCATAACTATCACCTTTGTCCAAGCCATTACAGACCCTTACTTGAACTATAGTCATGAGTTGTTCAATGACAGAGATATGTCCTGAGGATGCATTATTAGGTGATTTTACCATTTTCCAAACATGAGTTCACTTATACAAACCTAGATGGTATTGTCTACTACACAGTATACAGTACACCGTTCTGATCCTGGGTTCCAAACATGTACAGGGTGTCACTGCACTGACTACTATAGGCAGTTGTGACACAATGGTATGCATTCATCTATTTAAACATATACAAACAAACAGAAAAGGTAAAGATGTACTACACAAGATTAAAAAAATGGTGCGCCTATACTGGGCACCTACCATGCATGAATGGAACTTACAGAACTGTAAATTGCTCTGGCTGAGTCAGTGTCTGAGTGGTGAGTGAACAGGAAGGCCTAGCACATCACTGTGCACTGCTGTAGACTTTATAAACATTATACACTTAAGCTACACTAAGTTTATAATTTTCTTTCTTCAATATAAATTAACCTTGGCTCCTATAAGTTTACTTTGTAAGTTTATTTATTTATTTATTTATTTATTTATTTATTTTTGGAGAGGTTTTCGCTATAGGGCGCATGTACTCGCCAGACAGAGACAGAAAGCGAGAAATCACCCCCCAGGGGGGATGGCCACGCCACAATCCCTTCTCCTCCATTCTCCTCTCGGGATCTTGGGCACGCACGCACACACACACACGCCCGGTGTGAATTTAAGCCACTGGGTCCAGGACTCGAACCGAGGTCAATTACATGAGAGTCCAGAGACATAGCCATTACGCTAACTGCTGGTCCCCAGCTTTTTAATTTTTTTTAAAAGAATTATTTATTGGGGCGAACAGGTGGCATGGTAGTTAAGGTACTGGACTCCCATGTCATTGACTGCGGTTTGAGTCCCAGACCCACAGGCTTGAAACTCACGTTAGGTGTGTGTGTGTATGTGTCCAAAATCCTGAAAGGAGAGAGGAGGAGAAGCAACTCAAGCAGGGTCATATCCCTGGGAGGGTGAGTTCTAGCTCTCTGCATCTCTGCCTCTCTGGTAAGCACACGTACCCTATAACAAAAATCTCTCTCTAGGGAACCAGCAGTTAGCACAATGGCTATGTCGCTGGACTCCCACGTAGTCGACCGCGGTTCGTGTCCTGGACCCGGTGGCTTAAAACTCACGCCGGGCGCGTGTGCGTGCGTGCCCAAGATCCCGAGAGGAGAATGGAGGAGAAGGGATTGCGGCGTGACCACCCCCCCTGGGGGGTGATTTCTTGCTTTCTGTCTCTATGTCTCTCTCTCTGTCTGTCTGGTGAGCGCACGCGCCCTACAATGAAAATCTCTCCAAAAAAAAAAAACTCTCTCTCTAAAAAGTAAAAAATAATTATTTAATTTTATTTAATAATAATAATGTAAAAACATAAAGTTAAACAGATTTACTAATATAATTAATTATATTAATAGGCTAAGATTTAAAAATTTTTCTCAATAGGTACCAGAAAGACATTTGAAAAACTCAACACACATTCTTTCTAAGAACACTTAGTAAAACAGTAATGCAGTAAAAAATTCCATAGCCTAATAAAGATCATTTAAGGTTGACTTCCAGGAGGAAAAATATAAAGGCTCCCATTATTCATCATTTTACTCCAAGTTCTAACTAGTGTAAAAAGAAAAGGAAATGAAATATAAATATTTTTAAAAAGGAGAGAACATTATCATTGTTTGTAGACTATAATGTCTACCTGGAAAACAAGAGATCAACTGAAAAACTATATTAAGAG